AAGGGACAGATTTTAGCTCAGAAGAAATACAGGCTGCTCAGTGAGGATGAAGATATTCTTTTAACTAAGAAGTCTCCACCCCCACTTCACCCTGTGTGGCTGGATCTGCACCTCTTCATGATGAGTTTTTTTGGTACATGCTAAATCTAAAGGACTTCAGTCTCACCAGCCTGTCACTTCTAAGGACCACAGTCCCACTGCTGCTGACTGAAAAGTAAATCCACGCTTCGAACAGGATGCAAAGAGAGGGGAGGAGAGGATCACAAATAATTTTGCTTAAAATCTGCATATGGAATAGAGAGATCCTTATAAATTTGCCCCATTATGCAAGGTGTAAGTGCTTAAAAATGCTTCATTAAAACGTATGTTCTTTTGAAATATTTATTTTCCTTTTAATTACATGTGAATTAGCTGGAAGAAGCTGTAGGGAAGCCCTCTTACTGACTTAAGCCTTCTCAGCAGTTTGTTAAATTCTAGCCTCAAATCCCTTGAGGGAATAGTGGATTCAAAGCAGCTTTTAATCATACTATAAGGAGGGTGAAGTAGTATGTAAGTAGGTCATAGAGAAAGCATTACAAGTGCATAGGTTATTGCTTTATTTAACAACTACAGTGTAACACACTTTTCAAAGCACATTTGCTATTGCCATTTAAAAGTTAGAAGCAGGAACAGGGTCAAATGCAAAAAGAAACCCTTTCCATAAAAGATACTGAGATACGACTCAAGGAGAGCTTAGAGGGAAAAACTGCATTCGAATAATTTGGTTCTCAAACATAAATTATGTAGTGTCTATGTATGAATTAACTCTCGATAGCAGAGGGTAAGTGAAAAGTGAGGGTAAGAAACAAAAAACCCCGAATGTTTCACACAATGTTACAGGCTCAGCTCTGTTATTTGCAACATTAATGCCAGAATCTTGACCAGCACAGGAGCGCAAAATAGCAACTTTTAATAAAATTAAGGGAAAAGTGGAACGTCTGATGTGTTGCTACTGTACAGAGGGAAATGGGGAATGACAGAGGCAAGTGAAACTGCATTTATTTTCACAGCATAAATGAGACAATGGCTCTAAACACTGGTTTAGAGGAGCTGCATTATTGCTGCCCTCCAATCTTAAGCTTTTTCAACTGGTGAAGCATATGGCAGTTTTGAGGGAGGAACCTAGAATTTGGAATCATCAGTTCTAGAGCTTTAATCCTATTCCAGCTACAAATGCTGCCTCCTCTCCCTCCTCCCCTCAGTGTAGAGTCCCAGACCCTTTTTGGCTTGTTTACTCTTTGTCCCCCAGTTTCTCCATCCGAGTAGGGCAGATGAAGCAGTTCCACCTCACCTTTCCAGATTAGTCACCATTCAAATGTTTTTTCAAACACAGAGCTACATACAGTTTCTCCAAACAACTCAGCCTTTGAAAATCGCACACCTCTTCAGAGAAAAACAAAACAAACCAAAGTAAAAAAAACCCAAAAAAGTTCAGCTGCAGAAGGCCATGACTGAGGAAGTGACTTGTCATGTGTGAGTTCACTCTGACATCACTGCCTGTGGCTTCATTCAGTGAGTGACAAAGAGAGCAGACACCCCCTTCCCTTCCCTTCCCCAGAGCCAAATCCAGTGTGGAGCTCACATCACATCCCCTCTCCAGATCCCGTCCTCACCCTATCCTTAATTGTCATTCTTCTAATCAGCTTGCCCCCCTGTTGTGGGCCAAGGAAATGCTACTGTTGGAAGCGCTTCAAGGGAAAGTTTCTGAATTACTTCACTCTCTCCCAAGCCTGCAAGGCAGTATGAAGAGAGTTCAAATCCTCTGCCTTTATTCCCCCCTAAGCCAATGAACATGCTTGGGATTCAGCTTATCTCTGGCATCAAAGCAAGTTTCTAACAGAGGCAGCAGAAGCAGAGCTCAGCGATGGCGGTGTAAATTTGGAGCAGGCTCAAATGACTCCAGTGGAATCACTCAGGATCTTCCACTAATGCGAGGGGGAGCAGGAATCTGGTCCAGCTAGAGTTAGTGAATGCAAACGAGGTGGTTGCTATCTTTCACAAAGAAATAACCTTCCAGGCAAGCCATGAGCCCGGAAGCAGTGGTGTGACTAAGAGCAGGCAGTACAGCATTTTGGTTTGTGTAATGGGATGTGAGCCTACCTGCCTATAAGGCAGGGAGCCCATCAGCCTAACTCTTAGTAGCAGACTTTTGGAGGGGCAAGAAGGGGAGGGGGCATGAAGAAAAAGCAAAGCAAAGCACACAAGCACTTGGGCAGAACTACAGAATGGTGTAAAAATCATTAACAAGTAAAGCAGAAAGTAGTGCATTTCCTTGAATGGTAGAAAGTAATGGATGCAATTTTACGCCATTTTACCATTTGTGATTACCTGGAACAAAACTGTCTTTGTCAGTTATGTCTAATATTGGAAGAAAATTTTGAATTATGTAACCTTAACCTTTCAGTAGGGATTTTATATTTACAAAACCAAACACACAACAGTCTTCCATTCATTCTGAGAAAAAAAACAACTTACATATAACTGAAATCCTTTTAAAAAGAAAATTAAAATACTGGTTAAGGCTGATCAATGAATTTTAAGCATTTAAAATCGTGCTTATGAGGCTCCCTCCGCTTCCGTAGGCTACTGTAGCTCATCAGTAATCTTCAGAAATAAACGTCATTTAAAATTAGCCTGTGAAAAGGTCCCTCAAATTAAACATTTCTAGAGCTTTCACTTGAAGCGCATTGATATTATGTAAACTTGGTTGCTATAGTAAAACTTCCCACTCACTATCTTTTTTTTTTCCCCTTCCTATTTTATACCAGTGATGAGGTGATTTCATCCCACTGTGGGTAAAGGGCCTTTGTTCCCTTTTGTGGGCAATAACTCAATCTTTCCGAAAACAATTAGGCAACATATCATGGCACAAGGCAGATGTTACATGGAATGGAGGGTGTTTTGGAAAGGCCTTTAATTTAGAGGAACAGCCTCCTTTGTGAAAAATATCAAATACGTGGGACAGCCAATCATCACCCTCAGGTCCAAACCTGCACAAAGCTAGTGCTGAGCAGAAGCTGCCCAGTAACCTCTGCTCCAGCTGGGCTGTTCCTGAGCTCACCACTACATTTAGAGAAAACTGAAATAAAGCAGTAACAAGCAATTTCTGCAAGATGAAGTCTTACCGTCCTGTTATTTATTTGCAGTCCTGTTGAAGAGCATCACTATTGATCCACAGGTGTTACCTTTGTATTAGTGCCTTGTTCATATAGACACAAGACCAAGGCTTTTGTCAACCCAGTCTTATCCTGACTTGGCAACAGACATTGATGGATTTTTCTTTTTTTTTTTTTTTTTTTTTTTTTTTTTTTTTTTTTTTTAATGGACTACCTTATCTTCTCACCTGTTAACTATCAACAACCACTGCCCAAAAAGGAGAGAAACTTGAGGTACTGCAAGCACTGGCAAGACCTCATTTCCTAGTAGAGAGCAGACATGTTTCTTAAAAAAAGACACAGACAACCCTGGAAGATGGAACAGAATATTCTTGGATTTGGCTATTATATTATCTTCATGTGAAAACCTATGACTTAGGACAGGAGAAATCACACATCTGGTGTTCTTGTCTGTAATGCTCCACCCTCAGAATATGCAAAAGCCCCACTATGCTTTCAAAGAGCAGAGGAAAAATCCCACTGTAACACAACAACCTTCCTCCCTGCCATCTACACCCACAGGAGATGGATTCTGCTGGAGACAGAAAAATCTCTCTCATTTTCTATAAATTTGAGTTTTCTGGAGATTTTTGCTCATCTGGAGAGGCTGGGAGAGAGGCAGGACAAGGGATGTAGATGGTGAGGATGGCCTGGATCAGAAAGTGATACTGGAGGTCATTCTCCAACTCCGAAAACCACAGGCAAAGGTAACTGTGAAGTTCTAATGTGGCATCAGCAAAGAAAGAATGTGGGTAAGGGACATCAAAAGAGACAAGAAGCCAAAAGAAGACTTATTTTTAAAAACAAAATAGAAAGGCATCTGAGAAGTTTATTACAATATCTGCATTAACCCAATGCACTTCACTTCTAGCAGCAGGATCCTTACGAGCTTAACCTTCATTCTCTCTTCTCATTCACTTCTACGGGATGTTTTTCTTTCTTTTGCCCTGCAAATGATTGGATTTCACCTTAAACTCAAATTGTAGCATCTTTAAGGTAGGAAATTTCACAGGTCTATTTTTTTCCTTTGCTCATGAAGTGCCTAGCATACATGTCAATCCTCAAAAGCAACAATCACCCTGAAAATATGTAAAGTAGCTATCTTTGTTTCCCAAACAGAAACCATTAAATATCAGATATGAAGGACATAAAGAAAAGACTCCTACAGTAACTATAAGGCATTTGGATGTGCAGAAAAGTGCACCATGCCTGGTTTTAGTGGTTTGGAGTTTTTTCCCCTTAAATGAACAGTGTAAGAATTGCCAAATCAAAAGGTCCACCTAGCTCATGACCCTGGCTCTGATAAGGGATGGAAAGAAAAAGAGCATGACCATGGCAAGTGATCCTTCACACCTTCCAGCAGCTGGTGGCTGAGGGATTTCCTAGAGCCAAGAATGGCATCTAAACCATAATGTTTAACAAGCTCAAGTCACTGATTCAGTTTTCCCACAAATTCTCTGTCCGAAAAGAACATTGATGAAGTCACATGTTTATTTTTCCCCAGAAATACCTTTTAGATTTGCTGTTCTTAACAATTTCAGGGATTTGGGGCTCAGTACAACAAAGAGGAACATTGATTTTCTTTTCTGAACCAAAACATTTAGCCCAACTTAGTGTTTAACATACAGTATTTCACTTTGAAAGATCATAATAATTCATCTGCCACTTTTAAAGAAAACCTCAACCCCTTGATACAAAAACTTTGGAAGGGACAGGTGCTGGAACCATGAGGTTCCCAGGGCAGGCGTCTAGTTAGGCATTGTTTTGTGAAAAAGGCTCTTTAGGAAAAAAATTTGGTCACTTTGGATTGCTTTATTCAGGGGTGGGGGTTAACTGAGTTTAATGTATGTTCATCAGCCGTGCACAGACAAATCTCCATATGATTCATTGGAGCAGCACTGCAGAACACCTGGTGTTGCCAATGCAGTTCTGTTAGTGTTTTGTTATTTTTAAAGGGGATTATATAACTCTCTAATTAAAATTAAATGTGGGCTGAAATGATGCAGGCAAATTCTCAAGCTTCAGAGTGAGCTTCTTCCTCACAGTTTAGCAGAAGATAAACCTTTTTTAGGCAGAAGAGAAGGAAAATTAAACCAAGAGGTTGTAACGTTGAATTTAGGGTCTCTAAAATTTTAAGTTTCCTGATAATTCTCTGTTTTTTTTCTAGAGGCCCTCAACCCCTCTGATGCTGACCTGCAGCTTCCAGGGAGTGCAGGTGCAGGGTTTGAATCTAAAATTCACTCTGTAGCACAGCCATCCTATCATCCACAGGTATCTGCATGTGCAAGGTTTAGTTTCCAGATTCTCTGTGTTTCAATACAGTTACTTTTCACTCCTTTATTTGTAACTTCCCCTATTCTCTCTCTAATTTTCTAGAATTTTTTTTACCCCTTCCTCAAACTCTCTGCTTTCTCTTCCTCCTGGTGACAGACTGTTGTCTGGCATCCTCAAAGGCTGCTCTTGAGGATGACCTGCTGATTTGCTGCCATGGGAACTCCAGAGCAAGGACAGCATTTACCCCTCACACACTGAAGGGCACAAGCAACAGTTCCCTGTGCTGCCCTTCTTGCTGGTTAAAGTTTGCCCTCCTCTATTTCACAAGGGACATTGGAAAGCTGTGCCTTAAATAGCAAGAGTGTCGCAGCCTCTGCAGTGTCCAGCATCAGCTGAATTATTTGGAGGAAGGTGGAAAAGTCTAATAGCCGATGTGGGCAGCAAAGTATGACAGTTGAGAAAAACCCTCTCTCATGTAATGGCAAAAAACATTATATTCATATAAGTGCTGTATTTAAAACTTCCTGAGCAATTTTATTGGTAATCTTATTCCTTTGAATCAGAGAATTAACTTAAATTAGGTTGTTTTACCTGAATAAGGGATGCAAGGTAACACATCAGCACACTGAGTATGCTACATGGAGAGATAAGCAAGTAGTTCTCTCCATTCCTCCAGCCCCAAACACAATTTTGGCTGTTTTAATTGAAATAGAAGGATCATTTTTACTTGGCTGCATTTTACAGGGCAGCTTGTGATCCACGCTGTGTCAGTCTTGTCAGTGCACTGGCAGATTTACAGCCCCACGGTACTTTCCTGCAAGCACAGGCTCATAACAGCCTAATCCAGTAACGTGGGCTTCATGCACAATACAATTTCACAAACCACCTAGAAAGTGAGTGCAAATCTGGGAGTCGGTGCTTTCCAGAAAAGTCATTTTAGTCATTAGCTTAGAAATGCTGAAGATGGATCTGACTGATATTAGCCCACAGAATGATCACTGATCCTTATACTGTCAGAGAAAATAAAGTTGTGTGTGAGAACAGCTGAAATCCTTTTTACATCCCGCTTGAGCTGATTACTAGTTATGCTATCTCAGTCTCAAGACCAGAGTGAGAGATGAGAATATTAGATTCCAGATCAAGATTTACACAAAATTTCGGAGAATTCCTGCCCATTTCTATCCAATAAAGATAGTTAACCTTCAGTGCATCATTAACTTGCTGAGAACAGTACTAAAGCGACTTTAATTGACACATTTACTTCTGCTGCAGGGTGAAATAACACAGAAGCAAAACAAAACGTAAAAAATTAAAAAAATAAAAAAAAATAAAATAAAGCTTTTTGCCACAGCAAGAATGTTGGAGGGGGAAAAAAAAATCCTTTTTTATTTCCTCTGTGAGGATGCCAGCAGTCTTGTTTCATAAACTCCAGTGATTCATCACCATCCCAGGCAGCCAATCATTCCGCAGGTCAAGTAGAAATGGGCTGTAGAGCCAGCAACTCCTGCTGCCCTGATAATGCATGTCATTCCAGGCATGGCGACATGCTTTCTCAACAACTGCCATTTTCAGTTACCTTTTCTATGGCTGACATACAAGTAAATGTGTTGGAAGCAGTAAAACAGTCATAGGAAAGCAGTTGCAAAGATAAATAGCACCTGCACGTGATAATCTCTAATGTTATTAGAAAGGAAAGAAGGATGTGTTTTGAAATAGAATTTCTCTCCTCTGAAAGCATCACTTGACTTGGGGGGGTTATGTGTGTGTGACTGAGAGGGGGGTTTCTGTAGGTTTTTTTTTTCTTGAATTAACATCCTGACATTCGTCTTGGTTATAACCTTAAGAGATACAACTAGGGGAAAAGAAAAAAAACCCACAAAACCCAACAACAACAAAAAACAATGCAAAACCCAAACACCCTGCATTAAATATAAAATCTTCTTGCAAGTCACTTGTGAGAAAGATTTTGTACAGCTGGATTTTGTTTGAATTTAGTAATGCTCACTTTAAGAAACACAACTGCTCTTATTGAGGGAAAAGGATTTTCTTCAATCATTCTTTTCAATCTTTATTCCTTATCATCTAACTTAAATTTCATTAACTTCTTCTTCAATAACTGTCCTCTGAATCATATGTAGTTGAATACTGTTTTGCAGATGGAAACCAAGTGGGAGTTATAAGGGCACAGGATTATAGGAATACACACCCTCAATGAAAAATGTTTAAACTTAAGTTCACACATGTATGTGTGCACATAGATATATATGTGTATTAGTAACAGAGCATGTGTAATTTATATACATGTACCATGTAAAGTCCCTGTGCCTGAACACAAATGGAGGTAAAAAAACAAACCCAGAAAACTGTTCCAAATAACAGTGCTGGAACCAGATTTCAAATGCATAAGATTATCCATATTAATTTATGGTAATCTACAAATGAATGCAGCAGAGACAGTACAGGTTATCCAAAATGGTACTTGCATTTATTGAGAGACGACCAGAAAATATCTTCATGACAGATTTAGTTGCATCTTCTAATACCCCCTGAATTAATATAATGCAAAATAGAAAGTACAAGATGTGTTTCCCCTTTGGAATGACTGGCTCTTGAAATGCCAAAAGAAAGCCAAGCATTTTTCTCTACACAAAGTCCTCTTAGACATCTTGCTTTCAGATTTCATCAACTTAGGTGTTTTCAGGGCTGTAAGCAGTGAACTTTCCATCAGCAGCATCTTCAGCTAATTAACCCTCCTGATTACAATAATTAGTATTGATTCACTCCTGAATGACTTCTTAAGTATTCAAGCACAATCTACACTTGCAGTAAAACTTCTAGATATGAATATTAATTGAACATTGGCTTTGTTTTTCAGCCCCAAAGGTATAGTTTGCAATCTTATATAGAATAGAATCATAGAATGGTTTGGGTTGAAAGGAACCTTTAAAGGTCATCTACTTCCAACTCTCATGCCATGAACAGGAACAGTTTCAAGTAGATCAGGTTGCTGAGAGCCGTGTCCAGCTTGACTGTGAATGTTTCCAGGGATGGGGCAGCCAACACCTCTCTGTGCAACCTGTTTCCGGGGTTTCACCAGATTCACTGTGAAAAATTTCCTCATGTCTAGCCTGAATCAACATTGTTTTAGTTTAAAGCCACAATCCTATGACCCATTACAACAGGCCCTGCTAAAAAAAAATCTTACCTATAAGCCCCCTTTAGGTACTGAAAAGCTGCTCTAAGATCTCCCTGGATCCTTCCCTTCTCCAGACTGGACAATCACAGGGCTTTCAGCCTGTCTCTTTGGTGGAGGCAATCCAGACTGACTGTTTTTGTGGCCCTTCTCTGGATCCAATCCAACAGTTCCATGTTGAGGACTTGTTGAGGACTCCAGACTTGCAAGAGGTACTAACAGGTGGAATCTCACGAGGGTGTGGTAGAGGGAGAGAATCACCTCCCTCGACCTCCTGGCCACCCTTCTCCTGATGCAGCCCAGAATACTATTTCCTTCCTGGGCTGTGAGTTAACACTGCCAGCTTGCATCTAGCTTTTCACCCCCAAGTTTTTATCTGCAGGGTGGGTCTCAATCCCTTCATACTTAAACTTGGTAACAGAAACATGTCAGTGTCATTCTCTTAACAAAGGAAACATTAGCATGTTGATAATTGTGGTTCATAAATGTGAAAGTAAATAAATAAATAAATACATGCAAATACTCCAGGCTAATAAATGAGCATAATTCAATTCCATGTCCCTATGGAAGCATGGAAAGCCAAATCCCAAGCTAAGACCTATCTTGTTCTTTCTCTAACAGGTAGGACAGAGTGTGTTCATTTTGAAGTCACACCTGGCCATTGCATTAACAAATAACAACTCATGTAGAGTCTGAATTACCTCTCTTAGCTCTGTTGTGGAAACAGATGTCGCCAAGTATGACAATTGCAAGGCACCACATTGCTTTGTGAATGGATAATATTCAGAACAGGCAGCACTGAGGACACCTCCCATGTTCAGGCATAAGATCTCTAAACCTATGCAGCCTTTCAAAAGTCATTACTTTCATTAAACATGCTAAGAAATTACTCGTGTTACAGCTTTGCTTCACCTTCTTTGATGTTAATAATAATTGTTATGGCTCAGAAAGCAATATTTCAGTAAATATGCATAGAAAGATTATTTTTTTTTAAGTAGGATTCACACAAACCAATTCAAAAATCAGTCTTTGATGTGAATGCAATGTGAGAAAATACCCTTGGAAAAAAACAAAGTAATTTTCAATCCAAGACAAAAAAAAATAAAAAAAATCACTGTATATGTATTTTATGCAACATTTTATCTGAAAACATAGAAACTAGAGTAAGTTTCATAGGAACTCACCTGTGAACAGAGCGCTTAGGGAACAGTAATAGTATTGAATAGTCCTTAAAAGTGGTTGGTTTTGCTGCCCAGGTGTCTGTTGGTGGCTGCTACAGAAGTGCATTCACGCTGCTCTGGGCTATCCCTAAAGGGGCATTTCCACGTAACTGAGAGCGAGGGACTCACTTTATTGCCACTCACAAAGGGCAGTAGCTGCTAGAGTGCTCAGGCTGATGCAACATGACACGATAAAAAAATAACTTTATAAAAACATGCCACTGTTTCCCCCCTCCAGTTCAGGCAGAGCAGAGCAGTTGTGAATGAGTTAATGTTTGTCTTGAAAGAAGTTCTCCCAAGGAAGTGAATTATGTCATGGTCCCATAATATTAAACACCATCCTTGTTTTCTTCGTGTTTATGCACAACAGATGGGATGCAAGTACTACCTGATAATCCATAACCTCTTGGCTTCTCAAGTATTTTATGTGATATTATCTTTTTGTTCACATAAACTCTTTGCTATTGATTTACACCATCTCAAGACTCAAGGGAAGAAGATGCAATGACAAAAAAAATGCAAAACAGCATAGCAAGTATTCAGTCTCCCCACCAAACATTTTTGTGTTGAAATACATGCTTTAGAGGGCTCTGACTGCTACCGATAAATCCTTAATGTCTTTTTGTTTTAATCAAGGGGTCCAAGAGACCCCTCAACCTATATAAATCATGCACTAGAGTCCAGTTTTTAAAAAAGGCACAAAATCTCTATTATTAATTGATCAAAGCAAAAACCAGAAGCCACTGATAAATAAATCTTTTTTCTCACAAAATCATTAAACTTATTGCTAAAAGCAATACATTTACTTAACATGTAAAGTATTTAAAGACTTTAAACAGTTTAAGAAACTCCACGGAGTAATGACAATTCATTTTATTTAAGACATAAGCTGTTGTCCAAGTAGTAACTCAAAATTTTTCTAAAGCTTTGTAACAATTTCTTCTCACAATGCATAAGGTTCATTTTTTCATTTGAATTTTGACAAATTCAAACCCAAAATTTTTTACTGTTTTAATGCTAAACTATGGTTCTCTAAACAGAAAGGTAATTTAAGAAATGTCATATGAATAATTTGTTTGATTTAGGGATAGGAATCATTCAGGTAAATTATTCTGTCTGACCTTTAAAATTCTAACGTATAAAACGTTATAAAAATGGAAAGTCGCATGGGCTTCCGCTTTGAAATCTGATTTATCATTTTTATTGCATTTTCATTACCTAAAAAAAATTAGAAACAGTATCTTCAAAACAGCAGTTAAAGTTGATACGATCGGGCATAAAATCAAGCAAGTGCACATTTGGCAAATATGTGTTTGCCAGATTGACAGTAGTATTGTAAGCTTTCAGAATCAATAAGTTTTCTCACCACAGTTAAAGGAGAGGTTAGCAATAAATCTGCAACTTAATGCAATAGCCATAATTGTACGATACAAACCTCCCCCTCCTTGCACTATTAGCAGCAGATATCAACTGAAACAACCACCACAAAACAGGCAACACAGTTTATATTCTACTGTATACACAAAAAGATTAAGGGAAATGAAAAAGGGGCTGAGAAAAGGAAAGGAAAAAACCCCCAGAACAACCCAAACCACCCCATCGCCAGACATACATTAAGCTAGTTTGACAACACCATTGTTCAGCTGTCCCATTGTCAGACCAAAAGATGTATTCAATGCTACAATGTCTGCTAGCAAATAAACAAAAGACTACATTTTTCAAAGCGGGGTGCCAATTCCAGCATAATTCTGTGTGTGAGCGTGCGTGTGTGCGTGTCTGCGTGTTGTGTGTCTCTGAAAAGAGTAGTCGATGCTGGCCTCCCGCTAAACCTGGGAGCATTATTAGAGAATAGATGTGTAATCCCACAATATAGGAGTATTTAGATATTTTTAAAACATCTTCGAGTGGTAGAGACTGGGTGAAGCATTAGTAACTATTTACATAGGCTAAGTGAAAATTAAAGTGGTATTTAGGGCACTAGCTCTAATATGGAGTCTCCCTGAGCTTTTTCCATGCTTATTCCATGCCCAGTGCATAATAATGAAGCAGGCAGAAATATTGCAAAGGAGGTGATAAAAGAAATACCAGCTCTCTTTTAGAAAGGAAAAAAAAAAATAAAAAAAGGAAATATAAATATATTTATTTTTTTCCCCTCCTTGCCCTCTCCGTACATTTGTCGTTATACATGAAATGTGCGACCCGAACTAGTGGAAAATGCTCCTTGCACCCAGCAATGCCTGTCTTTTCCTTTAAATAGGGAAACTACTTAATACACAGCACGGTTATAGTTGCAGCGGGCCCAGGCAACTCGAAAGCACGCGTTAAAACAAAGGAGACAACATACCTTAAAAGCAGCTCCTCATTTCTCATAGTAACAGCGGATTTGGGACAGCGCATGCTTTCTGCACCGATATTCTCAACAAAAGCCAGTTCAGAAGTGCGCTCAAACATCAATGCCACAGTAGCTACTCACTAATGGCTACTCTTTCTCTCTTTCTCTCTCTAGTCAGACGCTGAGTGGTGGAGCAAAGGGGCCCCTGCAGATTCACTAAGCAGAAATAATCCTCTCTGACAAGTTATGTTGTCTGGGCATATTTTACATTAATGCACTGTGCTGCCTATAGGGGTCTTGTTTGCGTTCACTCTAGCCTAGCTGGTGTTAGCTCTCTTAATTACCAGCCAAAAAAAAAAATTAGCAACATTCCCACCCCCCCCCCCCCCC